GCTGAAATTGGACTCCTTTGACGCAGGGACACTGCGGTACCTTGTTCCAGCTATGACCGCAGCCTTTTGAGTAGAAGAGTGTGCATGTTCAGAACCTAGTGCAACGAGTTTCCCACGAATGTCCGCCGCTTTGTCCATGCGTTCTTCGCCTTCGGGCATATCGCCGAGCTTACGGCGGATGAGGCGTTCGCGGGCGGCAACGAGGGCTGTTAACACGACTTCACTGGCTGTGCCTTGGATGATACCTCCACCCTCGCCATCGCTCAAGAATTCCTTTGGCAGGGCGATGAGCTTAGCTACCCAGTCCATGACTACGGTTTCGAGTTCGGTGATGGCGGGTGAGCAGATCCAGTTGAACGCTGCGGCGTTGAAAGCACCGCTGTACATGTCGCCGATCATGGCTTCGAAAGATGAGTTACAAGGAAAGAAAGCCATGAATTTGGGACTTTGCCAGTGGGTGAGACCTGGCATGATGACGCGGTCGATATCTGCTTGAATGGTTTCCCATGATTCGCCTTCTTCGGGGGTAGATGATGGAAGGAGTGGGCGGAGGTAGCCTGGCTTGACGGAAGGCAGAACTGGTCGTTCTTCCAGGGTGTCGTAGTATTTAGCGACTTGTACAGCATTAGTAGATGCTCTTACATACGACAGAAGTAACCTACTCTCATCAATGGCACCTTTCGCCGCGTCTCGAAATTGTGAAGAATCCATTGTGGGGTAGCAAGACAGAACTGATAATGTCGAACTAATCACGGGGAAGATAAACGTAGCAATCGTATGATCTATAGTCTATGAGTCTGGAGATCGAACGTCGTGTACAAGATATATATTCAGTGTTAGCTCCAACTGTTAGGTTCGTGACGCTAAAATGCGAATGTCCGATGTCGCTAATTCCGCGCGAATTGCCATATTGGGTAAGGACGTCGTCTATGGACGGAATTGTCGCGAGTCTTTGTATACGTAGACCATGTAAGCTGTAGGGCGTAGGGCGTGAGATTTTTCTACTGTGGATTGCTTGGACGGAGGAATCCCTTCTCAGTGGTACTTCTGGTATAGAAAGAAGCCCCTCAATGATCGGAGAGGGCTGTTGCCTGTCAGATCGCTCAAGGCAAGATACTAGGGGGATGCTATCGGTGCGGAATTTTTTTTTGGTAGTCTGAGATGTTGCAAAGTGAGATGCATATCAAATATTGATAACGGGTATACCTATACGCCTCGCTATGATCATAATCCACTGAACATCAAAACGACACTTTGTCTTCGTTAGTACCGCTTTGCCACTTCAACACCGATGTTCTCGTCCGCATTCGCAAAACCACGAGCCCTAGGCGTAGATTTGCCTGCCACGTCCTGAGGAGCCTCGCCCTTGTACTCCCATCCGCCGTCCTGGGTGAAGAAGTCGACCTCGTCGATAATGTCCCACACAACATCTTCTGCAATCTGTTCCTTGTAACGCTCACCAATAGCCCGTAGTTTGCGACCGTCCGGAATCTGCTGCTCGGTTGTACCACCATCGACCATGTCAGTATCCTTCTCGCGCTGCTTGGCCATCTCTTCTGGAGGGCACCAGAAGTCGGGGCCGAAGTTGACCTGCGCAACACCACCATTGAATAGTGAGATGGCTGGCAGGTATCCTACCATGCCGTCGTCGAAACCTGTCCTTGCGCCGGCCTTGATGGCCTCGACTGATGGTATACTGGCGGGCGGGAGGAAGGCTAGGAGGTTCTCAAAAGCGATTCCAACCTCCTCACCGTTCTTGTAGACCTTGATGTGCGAGTGTGGCAGCGATCGTACACTGACATCTTCGTGATTTGGTGAGGGATGTATCTTGGGTACTGGGCCGCGGTCGTGGTAAGCCTCGACCATCTTGGTGACCTGGTAGTCGAGCTGCTCGAAGTAAAAGTTGCCTTTGTAGGGCACGGGTATGCGATCGCGGATGATGTCGATGGGCCTGTCGAAGGGATCTTGGTTGCTGACAGTGTCGAAGCCATCTCCCAGATCCACAGCCGGATTGTAGATGCCCTCGACGACTTTGCGATGCATTGATAGCGACGGTAGCTGAATCTCAAGGCCAATGACATCACCTTCTTGAACGTGCTGATCTGTAACGTACTCAACAGGCATTGGCTTGCCATGTGGGGGTCTAGCCTTCATGTGCTTGCTCTTTGCGTTCTTGGGGAGTGGTTTGAAGATCTTGGAGGCGCGCGATCGGTGTTGGGCTTCGAAGCGGGCGTCGGTGATGCCGTAGCTGTAGCCATCGAAGCCCACGGGTCCGTCCAAAGGCGCCTCCCGCCTTGCCCAACCCATCCTCACGTGGGGGCCAGGCTTTGTCTCTCCCGTCTTGGGGTCGATGGGATCCTTGGGACCATGTACGGGTATGCCTCGTAGCACCTTGACCTCGTAGTATATCCTGCCTTCTCTCGCGACCACATTGCCACGTCCCATGCGCCAGCCCTTCTCTTGAGATACGATGGTTGCGCTGTTGTCGAAATGGAACCACCTGTCGCAGTCTTCGTGGCTCATCCTCGGTCCGTAGGGCCTAGAATCGCTCTGTCTGTAGTACTGTTTGTGGCGGAACAGCGGGTCAGCGACGCAGTGCGTGTACTTGTAGCCCTTCTTATTCCAGGCAATATCGTGCGGCTTCTTCAACTCGGTGACTCCATCAGGCGCATACATGGGATTTGGCTCGTGGGAGAGCAGAGTGCTGTCTTTGGGCGCTTCATAGTCGGATGGTCTGGGCTCAGGAATGGAGTATCGCATGGGCGAGTCCGCCGAGGGGCGCTCCTTCTTGGACGACTTTGCATTCGGGGTGCTCTGTCTTGTGCTCGCTGAGGCTTCACGTTTCTTGATCGTCTCGCGCTTTTCTCTCTGTTCGCGCGCTGGAGCTTTCGGTCTGGCACGGGCTGCCGCATCGGGATTGGGGTTGAGCGGAGAAGAGACGGCAGGCGCATTGTCGCCTTCGAGTGGTCGCCGCATCGGGGGCACAAGTGTGGGCGTGTTGGAGCGCGAAGGGGGGTGTGAGTCGGCCATTCTGAGGGATCGTGCAGCTGCTGGGGAAGGCGCGACAGCTGTGTTGATGGAAGGCGCGACGGCAGGCCCTAGACATGCAGCTTCTACGGCGGGCCGTTTGGTACGCGAATGCACCCGCGCGGAAATCAAAATTTAGTGGGGTGTCTGGATTCTGACTTTGTCCAACTTTTTTTACTGCTGCGACGCTCGGTACACGTTTGCCCGGAACAGCACAAGTTCAAGAATACTTCAGATCAAGTCATTGCGCTTTGTACACGCCACTCTTTGCGATCACACACCCACGATGCCGAAAGCGCCCAAATCACCTGGTGTGCGCGACCAGCGACACAACCCTCTAGCCGAAGAATATGCGCCCTCAGACCCATGGAAGAACAAGGCGCCGAAGCGACAAAAGCGAAACAAGGGCGACAAGGAAGACGACGAGCAGAAGTATGTAGACTCCAAGAGCTCGCGCAAAATCCTGGAAATTGGAAGAGAGCTGGAAGAGGAGGATGCGAGGGAGAACAAGGCCCGGAGACCGCAAGAAGCCAACCCAGCCTTCGACTTCGAGACACGCATGGGCGAGGATGACATGCCGGGAGAGGATTTGGTTCAAGCCGAAGACGACGACGAGGCCTGGGGCGACGACGATGAGGAGGTGGAGGAGGTTGAGATCGATGCGAACGACCTGGCGGCGTGGAACAAGTTCATACCAACAGATGACAACCCTATCGTGTGGCCCGGGGAGGAGGCGCAACAATCTGGACCAGGCACAGATCTGGCGGCGCTTATTCTCGAGAAGATCGCCGCACATGAAGCTGGAGGCGAAGTACAGCAACCAGAGATCCAAGGCGGTGGTGCTCCAGAAGACGCGATCGAACTACCTGCCAAGGTTGTCGAAGGTACAGCACCCTCGTTGGATAACCTAGTAACCCTACTAAGCTTGCACAGTATACTCAAAGATTGGCTTGATCTTGAGCCGCTACAAGAGCGGCAAGTTGCCCAAGCCCTTCAAGATCCTGCCCACGATTCCCGCCTGGGAAACTCTCGTCGCCATAACACGTCCTGACGATTGGACGCCCAATGCCACCTTTGCTGCCACCCGAATCTTCATCTCCGCGAAGCCGCAAACCGCCCAAATCTTCCTCAACACCGTACTGCTACCTCTGGTACAACAGAACATCCGGGAAACACACAAGTTGAATGTGCATCTGTACAATGCACTGAAGAAGGCGCTTTACAAGCCCAGCGCATTCTTCAAGGGCGTCGTATTCCCTATGCTCACAGATGTCTCCTGCACACAGCGCGACGCCGTCATTGTAGCTTCCGTTGTAGCCAAGATTTCCGTGCCCGTCCTACACTCTGCCGCCGCCCTCCACCGTCTCTGCGAGATCGCTGCCGAGCAAATGTCTTCGGACCCGGATGCCGCTGGCCCCTGCAACATCTTCATCAAGACACTTCTCGAGAAGAAGTACGCCCTGCCCTTCAAGGTCATCGACGCGCTCGTCTTCCACTTCCTGCGCTTCCGAGGCGTAGGTGCAAGCAGCGCCGACGCCATGGACACCGAGTCGGTAGCAGGCGACCTGGGCAACACAGGCAAACTGCCCGTCATCTGGCATCAGTGCCTGCTTGCTTTTGCGCAAAGATACAGGAACGACATTACCGAGGACCAAAGAGAGGCGCTGCTAGACCTGCTGCTCACGAGAGGTCACAGGAGCATTAGCGCCGAAGTGCGGAGAGAACTGCTTGAAGGAAGAGGACGTGGTGTTATGATCGAGCCACCTGCTGTAGGTATCGATGGCGACGACACGATGATGATGGCCGTCGATGCATGATCGAGGCAATTTTGGACTCGACTGTCATGAAGATTATGAGCATTTACCGGCGTTACTAGAAAGGGATATCTGCATTTTCCTTATGGGACTTCAATCGATACTGAATATACCCACATTCACATCTCGCACTTCTTACACTTTCGAGACAACACTCTCTCACTCGCTCTTCACTTCAGCCTTCCCTTTGTAGAATGCAACATACCCCTTGATCCGCTTCATGCTGTCCAATGGCTCCGGGTAGTACCAAGCTGCATCCTTTACTTCGGTCTTGTTGGTTGTGACGGTGTAGTAGCTTGCGTCGCCTTTATAAGGACAATGTGTCTTGGTGTCAGTGGGAGTAAAATGGTTGCTTTTGATGGTGTTGGGTGGAAACTGGGGTGTGTTAGGATCTATGCGAGGATACCGGAAGAGAATGTAGTACGTAGATGTTCCCGTCAACGACTTCGTAGGTGTCAGTTTCGGCCACTACGATTCCATTTACAGTTGCGGTTGCATGAGGCATGTTTGGGTATTGAGTTGGAAGTAAGCTGGATCACGGAATAATGTTTGGGTACTTGAAGTTCCAGCTAGGTGGTGAGTGCGTTGTGAAGTTGTGTAGTGGTTTGGAGGGGGAAGGTCTATCGATAAGCATGCGAGCGGGGTGAATGCATGGCATCATCATTCTTGTTTGTACTATGAGCTTACTATACACGATGTTGGTCCATGTCTTTCGGTCCCGTCGTTTGCTATGTTGATGCTCTACGGTAGACGACATTGATCGCCTTGCGTGGTCGTGTGCTCAGTATGTTGCACATGCTGAGTAACGATAAGATAGCTAGGGTATCAAAAAGATACCAGGAGCACGCAACCAAGGAAGTAGAATAAGTACGCACGAGTGCAACGAGATATCAGGAACGAAAGGTGGAATTAGTCAATTAAATCCATGCTGGTCCGTGTCGTCTCGGACGATCTAGGATGGATACTGCTGACCACAACCGTGGGAAGCGGGTCCGCAAAATCACGACTTCTTCCCGTCAGGTATGCAGGTTCGCTGAGGCTCCATGGACATGCGGCTCGGCTAAAAGGCACCGGAAGCCATAATTCATCCCTCCGAGGCGCCGGTTGCCCACTGCAAAAGTGCATGTACATGGCTGACCACCGGAGTCGGTGCCGAGCCGATGCAGCGCAAGACCATGCCTTGTTGAGCTGAATAATGGAGCGCAGAAAGAATCGTGTGTGTCGTGAGTCAACTTGCGAACAGTTTGAGTGTTATCGCTGGACGCGGGTTAGAGGGTCAGCCGCAACAGCAATGCGAAATGCAAAACAAAGCGTGGGAGTGACGGGTGATCGGCCTCGACGAACTAATGGTAGCAGTCGGCTCTACAAATAATTCGCGTGTAGTAGGCGTGGACACGGCAGGGCGGGCTTTAATTGGAACAGGGCTTATCTTTTGGCGCAGAAGCAAAGACCCCTGCTCGACGTCTTGGTAGGGTGTTCGTCATCGCTAAGGAAAAAGTTGACTTCCGCGCACTCTAGAGCCATCCTCAACACCTTTTGTTCGCCTTCCCTATCACCTATATCCAGCCATTGATTTCGTGAAGCTCTCCCGTGGCTTCCTCCATCCCAATGGCACCCAACATGAGGCCGCTCGCCGCTTCTGCCAACGTCCTCTCGCAGGTTCAGCTGGCTGGACGCAGGAACTTGAGCACACAGCGCCCGTCGCTTATCGCCAACAGGGCGCAATGGACTCCCCGGCCTACCCAGTATCAGATTGCTCTCCGCCAGTCTGTCCGCCAGCAGTCAAGCGGCGCGCCCAAGCCTAAGCCCAAGAGGTTCCGCCTCCTGCGCTGGACGTGGCGCCTCACCCAGCTCTCCGCCATCGCCGGCCTTGGATACGTCGGATACGGCATCTACGAGACTCGCAACCCCGCCGACCAGCCGCCGCCTGACCCAAGCAAGAAGACTCTGGTTGTTCTCGGTGAGTAGCCATTAATCAATTGTGTGTTTCTAGGACGCCGCTGACACGCGACAGGTACCGGTTGGGGCTCCGTCTCTCTGCTGAAGAAGCTCGACACGGAGAACTACAATGTCATCGTCGTCTCCCCCCGAAACTACTTCCTCTTCACTCCTCTCCTTCCCTCATGCACTGTCGGCACCATTGAGCACCGCTCCATCATGGAGCCCATCCGCAACTTCTTGCGCCACAAGAAGGCGCAGGTCAAATACTACGAAGCCGAGGCCACCAAGATCGACTACGAGAAGAAGGTCGTCTACATCAGCGACGACTCAGACATCAAGGGCGACGTCTCGCAGACCGAGGTTCCCTTCGACATGTTGGTCGTTGGTGTTGGCGCTGAGAACGCCACTTTCGGTGCGTCATTTGCCCACTTTGACCTGAACAAAGCTAACATAGAACAGGCATTCCCGGTGTCAAGGAGAACGGTCTTTTCTTGAAGGAGGTCGGCGACGCTCAGCGCATCCGAAACCGCATCATGGACTGCTGCGAGACCGCTACCTTCAAGGACCAGTCTGACGAGGAGAAGAAGCGCCTGCTACACATGGTCGTTGTTGGAGGTGGTCCCACTGGTGTCGAGTTCGCTGGTGAGCTCCAGGACTTCTTCCACTCTGATTTGAAGAAGTGGCTCCCCGAGATTCAGGATAACTTCAAGGTCACCCTCGTTGAGGCTCTGCCCAACGTCCTTCCCATGTTCTCCAAGCAGCTCATCGACTACACTGAGAAGACCTTCAAGGAAGAGACCATCACCATCCGCACAAAGACCATGGTCAAGAACGTCACATCAAAGTTCATCGAGGCTGAGTCGACTGGCCCCGATGGCAAGAAGCAGCTCGAGAAGATCCCTTACGGCCTTCTGGTCTGGGCTACCGGTAACGCTCTCCGACCCATTGTCAAGGACCTCATCAACCAGATTCCCGCACAAAAGGACTCCCGCCGTGGTCTCGCCGTAAACGAGTACCTCGTCGTCAAGGGTACCGAGAACGTCTGGGCTGTCGGTGACTGCGCCGTTGCCAACTACGCCCCCACTGCCCAGGTTGCCGCTCAGGAGGGTGCTTTCCTCGCCCGCATGTTCAACAACATGGCCAAGACCTCCGAGATTGAGGGCGAGCTTGCCGAGCTCTCCGTCGCCCAGGAGAAGGCACCAGGAAAGGAGGCGCGTGACAAGGTCTTTGGCGAGATCAAGGCTCTGCAGCAGAGGCTGAGGAGGATCAAGTCTATCGGTCCCTTTGAGTACTCCCACCAGGGTTCGCTCGCCTACATTGGTTCCGAGAAGGCTGTTGCCGACATCTCATGGTTCTCTGGCAACATTGCTTCCGGTGGTACCATTACCTACATCTTCTGGCGCTCGGCATACCTCAGCATGTGCTTCAGCACCCGTAACAGGATATTGGTCATGCTTGACTGGGCCAAGGCCAAGTGCTTCGGTCGCGATGTCTCGCGTGTCTAAACGCCTTTCTTACCATTGGCGTTCCTCCTTTTCTAGAGATTCCCTAAAAGTTCGACTTCCTGAAGGGCAAATGCCATCGACGACGGCGTTGCCAATGTATACAACACACACCTCCCGGCTTTTCTGTACGATTACCAAGACATGTTTTGTATAAGGGTGTGATACCTTCGCAGTAGGGGGGGCTCTTCGGGTTTTCGGTCTGGTTACATTTTCTTGTTGCTAGTCGAGCTCGGCGTTCTGGTGCCTTTTTCTTTGTCAAGGGCGGTTTAGATAGATGTAGTTTCCCCGTTATCTTCTCAAGCAAATCATAGAAACTATGATGAAATAACGGAAGATCCAATTGCAGTATTACCTTGTTCTGAACTCAACCCCTTTCCTTCTGCCTTTCTTGCGCTTAGTGACTGGGTCATATTCGAGAATGGCATGTTTCTGGATATTGATGCATGGTAAGAATAATGATTGTTTCGTATGTTAAGATGTATAGACATCAATGCTAATGCTCCCAAGAACGCCGATCGTAGATGCAACTATGCAATACATGCCCAGTAATAGGATCCAGCCATGACCTCGATACACATTGTGAATGCAACTAGCTCACTACCGAGGACTGCCCACAGCCCCATAACTCCTTGGACTTGCATGTCTGCTTGTTCCTAAAAGCGCCCTGGCTTCGTCCAAGGCACTACCCTTCCCTTTGATAGGAATGCTCTTGCTGGAGCTACTGCCAGCCAAACTGGCTGGACTGCTTTCTCTCGGAGAATCCATGGGCGTGTTCGCACGACTCACATTGGGCGTAGCAGCTACACTAACAGCAGGTGCCCAGCCCCTCATCCACCCGCTTACTCGGCGCCAGTGCATACTCCTGCGCACCAGCTTGCCGTGATCGTCGACGGTGATGATGACTTCGTCGTCACGGGGTAGCGTAGATCGACCGCGTGGTGCAGCGTCGCCGAAATACCAGAATTGAAGACCAACGGCTGCGTCCATGAGGAGAACGCCAGCTGCGCCAAAGAAGAAGGGTGCCGCGCGTAGAACCCAATTTTCTCGCACACTACCTTGAGGGTCGACCCAGCCAGAGCCTTCGCCGGGTGCGTAGTCGTACCATGCACAGGGGTTTGTAAGCAGAGAAGTCGAGTAAAAGAGGTTACCAAAGAAGGCTGCTGCGAAGAGCGCGGGTGAGAGACCAGCTGTCGATTTGCGGACTTGGTTCATGTATAGTTGGGGGAGGCGGGATCCAAGGTAGAGGAATGTGCTCATCCAAGAGAAGACTTTGCCAGCAATGGCTGCAGCGTCGGGCGAACTGGTCGTTGTGGTTGTGTAGGCAGAAAGGCTGCGGGCTCGGACGAGACCTGGGGCGAAAGGACTTATGGGTGTGGCGGTAGTAGGGTTGATGAGTACCGCAAGCATAAGACTGACGTAGAGGACAGTCTTGGGTGAGGGCATAGGTGAGCTCGACGCTGCTACCCGTACCTTGGGGTTCGGGGATGCGCCAGATGGAGGTGTGTTTTGCCACGACTCTTTAGTGGGCATTGGTGAGCGCGCGAAGTTGGGTATTCTAAAAGTGTCCTTGCCGTTTGAGCGTGGTACATCCTTTGCCGCGGTATCCTGTGTGCTGTTCTTTTTGTCGGAGGGATCTTGGGGGGTCTTCGGGGGGCTGGATGTCTTGTTTGTACCACTGATGCTCATCCCATCCAGAACTTGATGCATAGCAGAGCCGCCAGCGCCCGAGCCGCTGCCAGCCGAACCGCTGCTCCAACGTCCCCAGATGGGCCTCAGAGGCCTTCCGTGATGCAGCATTTCATACCACACCCACTGAGCGCATAGGCAGCAGTCTACAAAAACGTAGTAACCAGCGATTATAATCTGCCATGACGCCTGCCCAGTGAAAAGGCAACCCAGCAAGTTGGTCACGTCACCCAACAGCCACTCCGTCAGAAAGAAAGCGCTCAGGCCGGATGTCGACTTTAACTTGTGGTTCTTGTATATTTGTGGTAGCTGTGCGAATAGCCATGATACGATGCTACACGTGCCGAGTAACGTAGAGATGAGGGCGAGGTTTGTAGGCACGCAGGTGTGGAAGAAGGCCGAGAGATGGTAGAGGAACTCGTTCGCAGGTTCGCATGTCGGTGGTAACGTGGGTTTGGCTATATGTAGGGGGGATAGGTAGGGCGGCATGGTGCCATGTGTCGATTACGAGGGTGTGGGAGGAAGTCGCGACACAACTTTCTAGGGCTGTGATTTCCGTATAGAGTCAACCGGGACTGCTAACCCGGATGTTTTCCTTATACGTCTTGCTTGTTGCTTCTTCCTCGCGTCTCGGTAGCGCAGGCTGAGTGGTCAGGTGCTGGTTTGGGCTCTAGGTACAGCCACCGAGGTGTGGGTGCAACCTCGTATACAAGACACGCGCAACGTCAGTGTCAGAATCCAATGATGAATCTGGCGACCGTGTCTGCAGGCGTAGTTTAAGAGTCAACGCGTGAGAGTCGCTGTTCAAAGCGCGGCGCTGTGACGTCGTTGATCCGGTCCGTGGCTGATAAGAGTCGACGTGCAGAACAAGAAGTTACGGCAAGCACAGAGAGCGCAGAATGCAGGTAGTGGAAGAGGAAGAGTAGAAGAGAAGGCACGAGACGTCAGCGAAGTGTGACAGAAGACACGGCGCAACGCAGCGGCCGTCAACAGTCAACAGTCATGACTACCCCCCAGCCAACGGTAGACTCGATAAAGGAAGCTCTCCACATGCTAGAGGATCCCCCGGCAGGCTCGCATGACCGATACTGAGCCAAGCGGCGTCTGTTACGGTTAGGGCAGGCATGACGGGAGATCAGTGTGACTTGCGCGGGTGGGATGCGATGAGTGATAGATAAGAGTTGCTTATCTCGAGGCAATCCGCGGGCACGCGACTCTCCTAGCTTACGCTGCATTTCCCCTTGCCGCCGTTCGCGGGCCTTGGCGATGCGCATCATCTCTGCGCGCCCGGCGGAATGCTTGCCGGCTGGCTCGCACCACATTCATATAACATCGCCAGATGCACGCGCATCAGAGATCGGATCAACTTCAATCTGGAGTCGACCTCTAGCGTGTCCTGCATAGTCATAATGCATGCCATCTGCCCCTCCTCCGCCATCGGAATGGGTCTTTCGCTTCGGCCTCCAAGCGTCAACTAATATGCTCCACTAAGATCAGCCTCGAAACGTAACAGAAACCCACCATCGAGCAGAGCGAGGGTTCGTGGTGTCTCGACCTTCTTGAGAGTTGCACGTCGGTGAGAGCGGTCCAGACTGGGAAGTGCTAGCGAAAATACGAGAAGAAAGTAAGTCTTAAAATATTATGATTGGAATTAACTACCATACATGTTATTCGTATGTTGTTGAATCTGGGTAACTTTCGCGACCTGCGGCACCCAATGTCTAAACAGCATCACCGCCATCCTGGACCCTGGCATATCTACCCTCCTTCTGAGCCTTCCACCGGGGACTGCAATCCGTCAGCACGACTCGGCATGCGACGGAGCCGAGTGAACATACTAGAAGAAGTTCCTGAAGCCCACAATACCAGCAGTCATCGCCGCATATCCACCCAGCAGCCTTGACCAGTTGCCCTCCTGTCCAACAGCCAACGCGACGAGATCGTATACCAGGCAGCTACCAAATATCCAGTCGCTCATGCTGGCCGCAGCTGCGAATCCAACACCAGTGGCGACCTGTACGAGCGAGCTAGGTTCCACGCCTACATAGTAGGCTGCTGATGTGTTGTGAAGGAGATCCAGTACACCGATACCTGCGAATGTCTTCGCAACGATGTGTGTGAGGAAGTTGGGTGTCGAGCGTGTATCGAGCGGTTCGAGCGCTGTAGCAATATAACCGACTTGGGCCAATGTGTTGATGATGACAAAGATATTTGATGTCTCCAAGTTGTTCGAGTTCCAGAAGAACATCCAGGCTGTCACACGTGTCAGTATTTGTTGTCCATGATCAGAACGATATTTCAGAGGTAAGACTTACTTCCAATACAAAAGTTTCCCAAACTGTAAACCCACGCGAACTTATTCATCATCGCACACTCCTGTGCATTACCGTCTTGCTTCCACAGCTTCCACAACCAGACCAGCTGGAAGATTTGTTGTGGGAAGAAGAATGCGCCGATGAAGTACGGGTATGGACTGAAGGCGGCAAGGTTCCGGTTGTGGATGTCCATCATATTGGGCGACGAGAAGATGCCATATTGTTGCAATGCAAAATCATAGATGAAAGAAGCCGGCGCAAGATACCGCACTGTGGATTGTGTATTGCCCATGCTGGCGGCTGTGATAAGATTCGAGACAGTGGTGGTGAAGGTAGAAGAACGGTCACGTGTATGAACGCGATGCAGAGATACGGGATTGCAGATGCGGGATAAGATTGAATGCAAAGGTGTGGTTGCTATTGTCTTTGTACCATCTCAAATCGCGTGTGTCGTGAATCGAAGACGTCATTCCATAGAACGCGATCTCACCTGCAGGGTCCAGCTCCCGATGCGGCATGAACATCATCTTCATCATCGTGATGTCGGTACCCGGCGGAACGCTTCGCACCGACTACAACTGCATTAACGTCTCGTATCGTTTCGGCTTCGGCGTTCTTGCCTCGGAACCCCCGACATTGGTCGTATGTATCGCAGATGCAAAAGCCTTAATTTTGCTGCCATGTCTATTGTCGACAATGTCTAGAGCTCGTACTTCAATCCGTTCTCCTCGCACAACTTCCGCAGACAATCATCTTCAGCCTCACCAAGCCACTCCCTATCAATTGCGACGTATATCTGCTGGAGCTGGGGGGCTGAAGCTCCCCAATCGCCTTCAACAAAGTCGTTCAAGACCGATGTCAACTCTTCCGCGCCCCAGGCGTCGCCAAAGAAGTCATCGGTAAAGCAGAGTTTCTTCATGCTTGATGGTATGGATTCCTCTAGCCTGGGCGCAGAGAAAGGTCTGCAGCCTAGTAGTACGGCTGGCGGGAGTTGAAGGGAGGAAAGCACAGGAAAGTCGTGAAAATTACACATGCCGCTTACGAGGCTGTCTTCATACACGGTAGGCGATTTCATTTGAGAGACAAATCTCAAATGTTCCAAGGTACTTTTAACGACATCAAAAGCTGCGTTGAGCGACCCACAGTCCAGCGAGTCTTCATGAGTAGTCCAGTACTCGTAGTCCAATGTTTTGAGAGCAGGTGTATAAGATAGCAGTTTGGCCAGTGTGTCTGGCGTTACGGAAGACTCGTAGAGCCTCAAAGTCGTCAGCTTTGAGCAGAGAGGTGGGAATTCCATCATCTGGAATCCCTCGTGAGCAACCTCATCCATCAAATTCATCTCGATGGTCTGGATTATTGGACACCAGAAGAAAGCCCAATACCCCCTCCAGTCTAAATGTGGATGCAGCCAGTCAATCCGACTCCACATGTCAGACTCTTCTTCGTCCTCATCAATAATACGCGTATATCCCAAAGTTATCTTTCGAAGGTTGCCACATCTTGGAAATTGTTTTGTGCCTTCGATGGAAGGTAGGGACCATAAGAGCCTAGGGATAAATACTACGTCGTCGCCAATGTGGAACCCTAGATGAAGCGACGCGAGATTTGAGCATGTACATATGAGCAGCGCGATTGTAGCATCCAGGTCGTACATCAAGACAGCATCATACCAAGACTGATGGCTAACTGTAAAAGCGTCTGCATGTCTATCGTGCTGTCTTCCTAGTCTTACGCCGTGTACGGTGTCCATGGCTAACCGCTGCTTCTCAGTCGTCCAGTCCTTGGCAGCATCAGGTTTCCGCTTCACCAATGGCTTCCGTCTTCGCGGAAGGACACCCCAAGTCGACCAATAACCCCTAAATCCCGTACTCTGCAATTTGAGATGGGTGATGGATTGCGCATATCTAGGTTTCGCCAAGATTGTTTGGAGGAGCAGGTTGGGACGGAGGGATTGTGCTGCATGCTGACTGTCAACAGTCAGAGGGCGGGTTGTATCGCTGGCTTTCCACGTCAGGCTGATGTGGTTGTAGAGTCGCTCTATCGTCTTTATGTGCAGGGCTTTGCAGCTCTGAGAAAGGTTTGAGATGTCTTGAGGTGAAGGGAGGTCGCCGATTATATAATCCAGAAGCTCCTGTGGAAGCTGAGCTAGCGAACATGCGCTATCCGAGGGGTGCATGATGAGCTCTTGGGAATATTGGGCAGATAGGTAGTAGATTTTTGACGAAGATGGTGTTCAGATATAGGGCCGGAGTTTGTGGCCTTGTTAATGCCGAGATCTATGTCTTCCAGACCCTCGACTCCTCGATCTTTCTGCCTCTTTCGAAACGACACTGCATCAACACACCATGGTTACAATACGAGCCCGAAGCGCTCTAAGAGGCTGGAAGGGAAAGCAAGAAAATAAAAGGATACACATCGCGACTAAACAAGAAATCGTCTACCGGAGTCTTGTTATAGTCACGCTGCAGCCACATATAGACACAGGAGGGTTGAGTGTAACAACTATAGAATGGGGATGCATTGGTGAGCTGTTTAAGAGGACATCGAAAAGATGAATAGGTATATAATAACATAGTTCGCGTAGGACGTGTCCCGATGATCAACCTATTCAAGCCGACAATGCGCAAAGCGAAAAGGCATCGGAAGACTAATGATGGTGGGTAAAAGGGCGGATCAGGAAACCTGCGGAGTGGTGCACAAGTACTGGTATTTACTTGCTGGCATAGTACCTTCCACGAGCGCTATAGGATATCAGGATGCAGAACTGGAAGAAGGCCCAACTATCTTAGCGTCGGATATATGACTCGTGTATTTTTCCATTAGCGTTCCCCGCATGTACGCCCGCACGCCATGGACGGGCACTACGAGTTAGGGTCGCGTGGCACAAACCATGCCTCCGACTTATGCAGAGATACTCCGATATTTTTGCGTGTAAGATGGTGCACCGTGGGGCAGCTTCCAAGCATGTGATGTTTAGTTGCTCATGTCTCGCTCAGTCGTTTCACGTCTGCTTCTCCTCTCCTCTCCTCAACTTCTATTGCATCACGCAGGAGCACTCTTTTCCCCGTCTGCAACCTCTCTCCTTGAACTCAAGCCTTCCGCGGTTGATAAGACTATCACATCATGACAGCAATGTCAATCCCACACCTTCGCAAGACCAAAACCTCAAGCCAGCTCATCGTCAATGGCGAACCTTTCCTCATGCTCAGCGCCGAGCTGCACAACTCCACATTGAGCTCAGCAAAGTACATGGCCGATGACCAGATATGGCAGAATATGCGCGCAATGCACATCAACACGCTGCTCGGTTCAGTATCCTGGGAACAGATTGAGCCTGTAGAGGGTCAGTTTGACTTCTCGAATCTCGATGCTGTGATTTTGGCGGCGCGCGAACACGGCATCAAGCTCGTGCTACTTTGGTTCGGAAGCTTCAAGAACGCGCTCAGTACATACGTACCCGCTTGGGTCAAGAAGGATGTGAAGAGGTTCCCGAGAGTACATGCGCTGGAAGCAGGAGGCAAGCGGAGAACACTGGAGCTGTTAAGTCCATTCTGTGAGGCGGCATGGACGGCTGATGCAAAGGCATTTGCGAAACTTATGGCCCATCTGAAGGAATTTGATGGACAGCATAGTACTGTGCTGATGGTGCAAGTTGAGAACGAGACTGGCTTATTGGGCGATTCTAGAGATCGCTCAAAGATTGCCGATAAGAAGTTCCAGGAGCCCATACCGAAAAAGCTGCTTGAACACCTGCAGTCAAACAGTGCTCGGTTACACCCAGAGTTCCAGAGACGGTACAACGTCAGCGCAGCTAAAGCAGGCGAAACATCATGGACAGAGCTTTTTGGTGCTGACGACATCATCAACGCTAATGAGATGTTCATGGCAGATGCTTACTCAAAGTACATTCACCATGTCGCATCCGCTGGCAAAGCCGAATATCCGATACCTCTGTATGCCAACGTCTGGCTGAACTTCGACAACCCTACGGATCTCGATCTTACCGACATACCAGTTGTAGTGGGTGGCGGAGAAAAGGCCGGCATCTACCCATCCGGCGGCCCATGTCCGCATACAATGGACGTCTACACCTTCAATGCCCCCAGCCTAGACTTCATAGCACCGGACTTATACTTTCACGACTACGAGATGACCTGTCAAAACTACAGACATGGCGGTCAACCACTGTTTATACCCGAACAGAGGCGTGATGAGAAAGGTGCGCGACGGATCTGGAGCGCTTATGCCAACTACCTCGCGCTGGGATGCTCTCCGTTCGGTATCGATTCTCTTGCAGCATCCGAAAGCGCTTTCACAAAGCACTACGGCTTGATCCATTCATTGCGAAAGCAGATTCTGGAAGCGCAGGCGAACCGGCCTGAAGATATGATGGGCTTTTTCTTCGACGACTTTGTCGATGGCCAAAAGATCAGCGAGAAACCTCGAACAAAGACTATCGGAGGCTTCCAGGTCATCATAGAACGTGCATTCGTTTTTGGTAAGCCGGGACCTGGAGCAGGCATGGTCATACACCAGGGGGACGGGAAATTCCTGTGCGCAGGCTGGGGCTTCAACCTCTCCTTCAAGAGCGCCAACCCCAAGTCAACTTTCACCGGCATATTACACGCAGAGGAGAAGGAAGTCAACCCTGAGACCTGCGAGCTGTCGACGCTGAAGATTCTAGGTGGTGATGAGACAAGAAGTGGCGAATTTTTGATCATGCCGAACGAAGACCCCGACTATGGAGGTTTTCCCATCGCAGTGACTATCCCAGCCAGAACATGCATTGCCGAGTGCTGGGCATATAGCCTCGAAGAAAGTGAGGAGGACTTTTGAACACCCTACATGATAAACAGCTAGTATCTTGCGACATAGATACTCTCAATAGAATTATATCGCAGGCCACTCACTCCTGTTACGCTACAGAGAGCATAAATTCAGACATATGGTGTTTGCACCGCAACTCGTTGATCTAGGCTCTCCAGCTTCGCTAAAAGCTTATCCAAATTTATGCTTGCTTGTAGAGTGGTGCCTTGCGATCCGGTTCGCAGCTCATCCAGAAGAGCGCCACCAATGTCTCTAATTTTCGGCACAATACTATATCCGTTAGCATCAAACACCTCTTCTGGCATGTTGTATAGGACATCGAGCAGCTCGTCCACCACGCGATGTCGCTCATCGATGATAGCGCCCGGGGTGACTCGCATATTTTGGTCCTTGGCCAAAGTGTTCATCTGTTCAAGCAGGTTGGATCGAATGTGCAGTTGCGTGACCTTGAGATTGACCTTTTGCACATTGAAGGCGAACTGTCCAACGGCATGAGGCGGTCGCCACGCGAGTTCTGGGGGCACGTCTTCAAGCAATTGCTGAGCGCGCATGATGTGCTCATGTAAATTACTCATAGTCTGAGTTGTGATCGCTTGGCTGGAATGCCATACCATGAAGAGCCTGGAAAGTACGTTGAGTCCCGGGACATACGAAAAGCACGGACCGGTGTCTTCAGTGGAGCTTGCGTCAGCACCATGTAGTAACTGTATGTCGCTAATCTCCAACGGAATTAGATGACCGAAAGCTTCATGCGCATGACGCAGCACCAGTAGCTGTCTGCCATGCATATCGCAGGTGCACTGGCCGGCATAAATCAGCCAGTAAAGGCGCTTGAGGGTTTGCTGATCCATGAATGACATTCGCTCGAAATTCTCATGGATGAGGTACTTGATGCCGACCGAACTCCCAGCAAAGAGGCGGTAGGTCAGTGGAGAACCAAGGCCGTGCTCATGGTTGACAGCGCTGGAAAAATTGTACAGCGCCAATGTTCTCTCTAGTGTGATCTCGCTGCTCACGTTCCACATTCTGAAGCGTTCAGCCAGATCCAGACACGTTTCTACCGATAATTCCCCGTAGAGGTGGCGCCGCCTACGAAGGCTAGCCACAGTGGCAGCGCAGACTGATACTACTAGCAGGAAGAACGCCCTCGAGCCGTCGTCCTCGGATATCCTTCGCATAAATAGAGTACGATGAAAGAGCGGAGCTACAGGATGAATCCAATCGAACCAGTCAGTCGTAATTTGGTGGATAATGGCAGGCGGTGCTATGAGCCCCAAACGCGGTTGCTGAGGTTCGCTTTCCGCTGCAAACGTGCCATTGCCGTCAAGGCGCGCCCGTAATGAGTGTACATATCGGTTCTTTGGTCCTCTCTTTTTCCGCGGTCTTATACTTGTACACTCGATATTGAGCTCAGTACAGACCGAGCATTTTGATTCACTGGTCGACGCGACACACTGGTGATGTCAGGCTGCGAATCTGCCCTGAACCAAGTAATCCTCACCTTGACTTTCCTCGTACGGCATGCATCGCAAGCTGCCGAAGTACGCTGCCGAACGCGCTCTTCCCGTTCCGATCGTTCTTCCATGTCGTGAGTGTTGGTTGAAGCGCAGAGAACCTGGACGCCGCAAAAACTGACGGAAAAATGATGCATTAGCGCCAGGCTAACGCTAGCCTCCTGGATCGATTCATCACCCATGTGTCTTCTCCGCACTATCGCTCCACTTCCCCATGGCACTGGATGCAGACATACCGGCGATTTGGTCGAGACCACGAGGTGCGTCAGGCCGCTTCGTTCAGGGTATATATATGCGTAGAGATATGCGCTATTGAAGCAGAAGCATCGAAGTTTCATCGACAAGAAGCCGCCTCTCACTTCGACCGCAATGGACAGCAAACAGGATATCGGAGTTGATCATCGAGAAGATGTTGATCACCACGGCCAACCAGAAGAAGACATGCGGCCGTGGTACCATCAGCCCGAACTGCGAAAGCTGTACTTGCTGATGCCATTCTTGTTCCTCGGTTCTACTACCCTAGGGTACGATGGCAGTCTCCTCAATGGTCTACAGACTATGCCAGCATGGAAAGAGTGTATGTTCCTGCTCTCCTACATCTCATACTAATTGCCGAGAACTGACATTACTGTCAACAGTCTTCCATCACCCCACAGGATCACGTCTCGGCCTCCTAGGTGCATTCCCGGGATTCGGCGGCTTCGCAGTTCTCCTATTTACACCCTACATCGCCGACATGATGGGACGCAGGCTGGGCACCGCGATTGGTTGCCTCCTAGTCATTATGGGCTCAATCATCCAAGCCTTTCCACGCAAGGATAACCCAGACGCCATGTTTCTGGCCGGCAGATTCATCATGGGGATGGGTAGCAACATCTCGAATGCGACGTGCCCACTTCTGATTACTGAGGTTGCGCATCCACGACATCGAGGTAGGGTAACGACCGTATACAATACCCTGTGGTATCTAGGTGCTATCATCGCGGCGTGGACGACGTACGGTACCTTGACTCACATCTCTTCCGATCTATCGTGGCGTCTTCCGGTAGGCCTTCAATGCGCCATGCCTGGTATACAGTTGCTTGCCCTATACCTCCTTCCAGAAGTGAGTCAGGCTGTACACGCATGCAGAATATATGCTAAACTCGTGTCAGTCGCCGCGCTGGCTAGTCAGCAAGAACAAGCACTCTGCCGCAAAGAAGATACTCACCAAATATCACGGGAATGGAGCCGAGACCGACTTTGTGAATTGGGAATACAACGAGATAAGTCTAACTCTGGAGGCTGAGAAGGCCGCGAGTGCCTCCAGTGGGTGGTACGAATTAGTCCGGACCCCTGGCAATAGGAAGCGCTGCTTGCTGATCATCCTTACTGCCATCTTCTCGCAATGCTCGGGCAACGGGCTTGTGAGCTACTACCTCGCAGCGGTCCTTCAGACTATCGGCATAACTAACTCCTCCGATCAAGCGCTCATCAATGGTGGTCTAACAATCTGGTGTTGGCTCGTTTCTCTCGGATGCGCTTTCCTTGTTGATCGAGTGGGGCGACGAACCCTTTTCTTGAGTGCCGGTATTGGTATGCTTATCGCCTTCACCATCTGGACCGCGTGCAGCGCGGTGTACGCGCAGACTGGAAACTCAAGTGCCGGTTCCGCGGTTCTCGCAATGATCTTCCTCTTCTATGGAGGTAAGTTGCCTTCTCTTCTCTCCTGTCGCATATTGTACCACCTAGATGAACCAACTAATGCAATTACAGCCGCCGGTATCGCTTGGCCTGGCCTAACAGTTTCCTACACCGTCGAAATCCTCCCTTTCAATATCCGCGCCAAAGGCCTCACACTTTGTTTCGTGTTCACGTCGCTAGCCGGTATTTTCAACCAGTACGTGAACCCAATTGGTATTGAAGCATTAGGCTGGAAGTTCTATATCGTATACGTTGTGGTGTTGGTATTGGAGTGCTTGGCCATTTACTTCCTGTACGTCGAGACGAAAGGTCCGGCTTTGGAAGAGATCGCGTTGCTATTCGATGGTGATAGTGCTAATGTCGCGGGGACGAACCTTGCATTAGACCAGAACGGAGGGTTGAAGGAGCTCAAGCGTGGAGAGTGATGGCTATGCTGTTATCGTCACGGATATAGGATCGGTTGGACTACAGCGAATTAGAAGGCTGTTCAGCGTGAGCAAGTGCAAAACCACTTCCCATCCTATGGTGACTTCAAATGACTATGTAATACTCTCGGTGAAGCAACCCTCACGATGTCTTGTAGCTTGGCGGGTAACCGAGAGCACTGCCTTTGTCGAAGGTATTGCGAACGCTTGGATAAAGTCGAAATAATACCCAGAGACCCGTATCGAGGCATAGTGAAAGCCAGGTGCCGTACACAGTCACGGGTCTCGCAGTAAAAGGCTCATGTTTGTCCTCTTCCGATCAAGGTCATGGTCCCATATTTGAGTGATGGTCGTCTTGTTGCAATGTCGTGGTGACTACGATTGTCTTGTTGTCTGTCGCCAGCTCTTCTTGGCTGCTTCGTGTGTCATTCCAGTATGTGTCGTGCCTGAGCTCTCTTTCGCGACCAGCGCCAACTTTCATTGAGTTCATCTTGATCGTTTCTCGATGATTACCGTTGTTACTGGATTGGCTCTGGTTGTGTCGAACGTAACCGTTCGTATCGTACGAGATGTGAGGTGTGTGAGACGATCGGTACAGGATGGCAAAGGCTGGACAGCAACCAATACAGATGGCGATAGCATTCTCCACTATGGTCCAAAGAGCCAGCCATGTCGGACTTGAGGCAGTGCTGTTTTCCGATTTGATGCCGATCTGGACCACGCGTAAGGTAGCAAAAGCCATGCATACAATGCCAGATGCGAACAACGCAATCACCGCTACTTTCTGTACGCGCGCCATCTGAAGGTTCCAGACTAGTTTTATAGGTAAAGCCATTACTGATGATGTCAGGAGATTGCTCATTAAATTGTGTTGTATTTGCTGGCTTACTCATAAGATCTGACAACATATCCACCGCATATGCTGTATAGAGACTGGCAAGAGAACCGCGAGTGGTCCGGGGGCCTAGAGGGCAATCTCCTCTACCCATTGCCGCTCCAAAGTCGGGGCAAGATGTGGTATAAGATACTATGCAACCGATTAAGGTCTATGAAATTCGGTGAGTAGGTGTACGAGGTTCCAGATCGATTGGACTTACGATGACGCAAAATACCAAGACCGCTGACCAGAGTCTCATGTACACTATTGGCAGGCCCTCCAGCAACTTCCTGTATAATGACAGGAAAGACAGTTTGACCAACCATAGTGAGATCCAAAATAATGTCGTAGTAACGAACATCATTCGGACGTATGTGATCATATCGGCTTGGAAGGTCGGTCCGGGCTCTAACACGCCTACAGAGACCCTTGCAATCATGAACACCTTGGAAAAGATGACGAGATAGCAGATCGTGGTGGCGAGGAAAAGAATAAAGGCAGCGTACAGTAGAAAGTCTTGTGCTTCAAGCTTTCTTCGCATGCATACCTGTACTCCGGAGCGCGCAAGAACGAAGAGTGAAGCCAGGATAATCATACTGTAGACAACACCGGAGAGCTGACTTTCTGATATCATCTCCTGATACTGCGACTTTGCGTATTCTTCAGACGACATTGTGAAGTTTTGCTGTAAAATGAATGAAAATAGGTAGGGGGCTCTGCTGGAGCATTGAAATGCGAAAACTGATGTCCTAGTAAATTGCACCTGCGAATATAAAGTGTTCAATGCGAGGGAAAATGCGCAATTCGTAATGGATACCAACAACCTTTGACATCCTTCTGTTCCTTCCTGCTCATTACCAGGCTTTGCACATTCAGTGGCACAGCTCTTCCACGTTGTTGTCGCAGCTCCAAGCAGCACTGACGGCTCGGTGGAGAGTACATTTGCGGAATCCCTGTTGTACTTGATATTTTAGGCGATGCAGCCGCTGCCACGGAGCGACTTGATTCGTTACCCATGAGATGGAATGCGATATTTGCTCGCATATTGTGTTGATGTCGATCTGAACATCCATTTCTGCCTGTCCAGATCTACCAGCAATGGCATGTTCAATTTCATCTGATTTCAAGAAATCCAAGAGCTCGACTGTTTTCTATCTCTGATGCTAGATTCTTTGATTTTTTTACAGAAAGATATGCTCCTAAGGTCGCTCGAATTGCGTCCCATGTATGTGTAGGCGCCGGAGTAATCCTTCGGCTGGGCTCCCTTGCAGATAAGAGCGAGGCTGCAGGACGGGAGAAAGCGCCACTTGCCTGAATCTCAGAACCTCGGAATACCCAAGCTTGGCATCCTATGTGGGTCATCCGGCCCGGGTGCGGCTTTGGCCGCGGCTGCGGTCTTTCCACTCTCCGCTAACTAAACACCGACAACGTTTCTATGTTTCTATGTTTCCTATGACTATTGCTGATGCGTTCCAATGAGCATGTCATTCGTGGTTCTCGTATTGAAATTTCGGATTCGATGGTGTACTCGAAGCTTTTGACCGCCACCGGTGCCAGACCCGCGTATGCGGTCCCTGCAGCTGGTAGGATTGCGGCGTAGTGATGTACATGGCACAATGGCCTCTGATTCCTTGGAAATCCGGCAAATACAGCAAGCGCCACTCGGCGTTTATTTGAAAGACCGTCTTGAATTTCTCTCCTCATGAGAAGTAGGTCATTATTATCGTCATTGTCGTGGTTGAACTTACAGCTCAATCAAACACCTAAGGCCATATGCTCTGAACTCCTTTCCTCAAAGCGTTGGAGCTCTGCGTGGCGAGAACACTATTCAAGTTCTAAATGCGATATGGAACCCTGCGAAATGCCTGCAGGCTCGCTTCTGACATTCTAACACGATACGGAAGATGCGTACATTGCATGCATCCCCCCTTAATTACTATGCACGGCCATCTAGCCCGTCAGAGAGTAGTTTGTCTAGCATGAAAATCACAGCACAGCGTTCCTGCTCCACCGTTACTCGATGGCGGCTTTTTACACAACTGTTCTTAGCTGCGATCCGGTGTCCGGATTACACCCGTCTCCGCGGATGCCTTGTCGACATGTCCATAAAAGGATGTGATACCTCGGTGCCGGGTCTCATCCAGCATTATTCCAGGACTTGCTCAAGATTGCACGGGAAATTCCGTTGTTTCCCGTACATCACTTGTCTGTACGCGCTTCTGTCCTTGACATTGGCTTGCATCGCCGCGCCAATATATCGCTCGGCCTGGAAGGAAGATGAAGACCGTCGTTTCTCTTGCCGCCTTTGCGGCCGGCGCCCTATCGCAAGCCACGTTCGAGCCAGCTGATTTCAACATCACTGAAGCTCTCTTGAAGAATGGTGTGAATGTATCAGCCATACCTGAGCTAGCGTCGTTTGCAGAACGATCTTTATCGAGTGGTTGTTCAGCAGCCGTAAGTCCCTATACTTGCTAGTTTGTTGTACTGCTTACGCCGAGACTGATCCTTCTTTTAGTGCACGTCTCTGAAGTTAATATTCGGCGACGATCAAGTTGAAACACAATCCGAATCTGCGTACACTGCATTCCTCAACGATTTTTGGTCTGCCCAGCAGGCGGAGATCTCGCCCCAATGTGTATTCAAACCAGAAAAGGCTCTAGACGTATCCACCTCAATACTTTTATCTCGACTTACACAATGTCCATTTGCGGCGAAGAGTGGAGGGCATTCTGCCGTACCTGGAGGTTCAAACATCGAGGGCGGTATCACCATCAGCTTCGAAAGGATGAACAAGACCACACCCTCTGATGACCGAAAGAGTGTATCGTTCCAGCCCGGACAAACCTGGTACGATGTATATACCAAGTTGGAACAATACCAGCTCACCATTATTGGAGGTCGAGTAAGCAGTACTTCGAAAGACTGACTGGTGAGCTTGCTAAAACAACTCCAGGTTTCTGGTGTCGGTGTCGGCGGTCTGACTCTTGGTGGAGGTGAGAGCATTATATGCAAGTTCTTGCATGACATGTTTACTTATTCGTGCAATAGGTATCTCGTACTTCTCCAGCGTTTACGGATTGTCGTGCGACAACGTTATCTCCTTCGAGTTGGTCACGGCAACTGGAGTCGTCATCACTGTCAGCAAGACCTCATACCCTGACCTATTCTGGGCCCTCCGAGGCGGTGGAAACAACTTTGGACTAGTTACACAGTTCAACGTCAATGCTCTCCCGAGAGCTGATACTATGTGGGGCGGATCGCGGACGTACCTCGAGAGCGAATGGCCTGCGTTACTTGAAGCCTACATCAACCTCGGCAAGCAAGCCAACCAAGACGGAAAAGCACACCAAATCCTGTCATTCGTCAACTACTCAGGTTCAGACCCGATCGCACTGGTCGAGCTGGAGTACGCTGACCCTGTTACAAATGCAACCATTCTGGAGGAATACAATACTATTGAAGGTGCCATTGCCGATACCACAGCTGTAAGAAGCCTCGCGGAGCTTACTACACTGATCGACGGCAATGGGGAATATAATGGGAAGCGTCAAGCTTTCTGGACCTGGACGACCAAGCTCGATCTCGAAATGGCTACTCTGACTAAAGACATCTTCTACGAGGAAATCGCAAGTGTTAAAGACGTGGCAGATTTTGTAGGCGCTGTTTCTCTCCAGGTCATTACCGACCCGATACTGGAGAAGACGAAATTAAATGGTGGCAACGCTCTCGGACTGGATCCTAAGGACGGCCCCCTCGCGCTTCTCCTGGTATCTCCAAGCTGGTCCAATAGCGCGGACGACGAGACGGTCAACCAGTTTGCCGCGCGTGTCATGGATCGTTGTGTAGAGGCTGCAAAGGCTGCTGGTAAATTGAACGATTACCTGTACATGAATTACGCCAGTCCGTACCAGAATCCTATTGGTGGATACGGTGCAGCCAACCAAGCTAGGTTGAACGCCATATCGAAGAAGTACGACCCTACTGGTGTGTTCCAGACCCTTCAACCGGGCTACTTCAAGCTTGATGGTACTGCGCCATTGGGCCAGTTGTAAGTGAGATAGATTAACAACTGTTAGACATGGTAGTCAGACTCGGTTGTTTCATGTCAATAATATCATAAATCACTACCGTGTTGCCCATTGCCTATGGTGGAGGAAACACGCCGATCTGAGTCTTCGCGGTGAACTTGAAGTATAGGAAGGACTTCAAATTATGTCGAACCATTTTTCGATAATGTGGAAGATCCAGGAGTCAGTGTATCCGTGGTTCTGGACTTCACGGAAGACGATGAAGGTTTCGGTGTCTTCGGGGTTGTCGTTGTAGATGTATTTGTGCTGTTGGTGTCTCCACATTTTGGGGTTGTTTTATCGTAGGTAACATGATTCTGGAATAAGTGCAGGAGACTTGGGACCAGTTTTCCAAGCTGTTAACTGGAGTAAATAAGTGGATTTGAGGTGTCGTCCTGCTGTCAAGTACTTGTAGTGCGATTTTCTCTTTCAATTCTTCTTACTTGCGGCAAAGATGCAAACGCTATTTCACCAAAGTATTATAGACACATGTATTGCTCTAATGCATGCGCTCTGTTCTTATTCCATGATCACTTTCTCATACACAGGGACACCATTTCACTGCACCTCCTCACCCAAGCATACTCCTCTTCCTTCCCCTTAATCTTACCCCTTCCAGCCTCTTCAAAACCCCCTTAGCACCCTTTCCACACTCACCGTAAGCCTTCAGCACTTCCTGAAACAGTGGCTCAGCAGCTGGGTGGGTTGCTGAAAATGCCCTTTCAAGGACATAAAGATCAACAGCTTTGTCTTCATCTTGTATGCTGGCAGTTGTGAGGCCGAAGTCGATGAGGAATATGTCGCCGGACAGTGAAGTGGTAGGATCGGACTGTTGCGGAGGGTTGGCGGGCGGAAGGTCTGAAGGTTCTTCGCCGCGCATCGCTGCTTCGCGGAGACTACTTGTTGTTTGACGTCCCTGTGGTTTTTGCTGCTGCTCTTCTGTCTCCGTGTTTTGTGGTTTCGGTGTCCGTAGCATGATATTGCTGGTTGTGAGATCCCCGTGACATACCCCGAGTTCGTGCAGCTTTCCTACTTCCCGCCCTACTCTTCGCATTAGGTCGAGTATTTCAGCTTCTTCTTCTTTCGGCGCTTCGTTGGCCCCCTTGTCTACTCCTTCTGTGGCTTTTTCGTCCTTCTTGCGCTGTGTTACTTGATGCGCCCAGCCATCTAGTACTTTCCTCACAGTCCTACCATCTACATATTCCAGCACTAACCACCCCGCATCCCAATCCGCGCCAATCACACCTGGTACGTTGACGCCATCTCTCTTGACCCTGATCAGACTCCTAGCCTCGGCCAATAACCTCTGTTTTGTAAGACGCTTGTCTAGAGTAGGATGTCTGTACGGCTTTGGTGGTCGGTATTTGACTACGACGGGCGTACTCGGCGTGAGGAAGGTGGTTTTGTATACAAGAGCCTCGGCACCTTGTGTTATGGTCTCGAGAGCGTCGTGAGAGAAGGGTGGAGGGAGAGTGTGGAGAGGACGCGACGTCTCTGGTGGTGGTGGGGGTTCGATTGGAGGAACGACCGGAGGTTCAGCCATTGCGGGTCGTGTTGTTATGTGTAGGCTGTCGCAACTCTGCAATCGTGCATGTACCCAGAGAGCGGTGCGACGGGTATATCAAAGGCGTGGATGAGTTCGGAACGTGCAGTGTGTGCGGGGGGGGGGGGAATTTTGGTATTGACAATTGAAGCTTCGCACTTGCCCCGCGATGCGACACCAACCATCAGCCTTACGACGCTTATCGATTCTTTAGCCTCAACACCACGCGAGCATCATGTCGATCACCGTTGAACGCCTTTGGAGGCACTAGAGTACCGAGATTAGCTATTACCCTGATAGAGTTCTCGCTGAGCACAGATGGAGATCAAATCTCCGGATTTACAAACTCGACTCATGATTTTGCTAGCTGATTCGCAGGCACACATGGTCTGTTGCGAAGCGTCATGTATCCGTTGCTGGCAAAAGCGACCCCAAACCGTATAATGATGGCCTCACTTCACAATCAGATTGAAGCATATTTCGAAAGCGAGTGTGATTGCATTTAGGTATCTCATCCTACATGATTCACTCTTCTCTTTGCATCGCCTTGCCACCCAGGCCGCAGCGGTAGCGAACGGATTGGTCAAAAGCACACTATCTCCAACAAACAATGGTAACACAAAACAGAAGCCCAAAGAAGGCAATGAGCTCTAGCCACAGGCAATCGAGCTCACGTCCATGAAGCATATCCCAACTCGCCCGTCCAAATCGCCGGGCCAAAAACCATAGAGCCTTCCCACCGTGCTCATTAAAAGCAGTTCGCATAAGAGTCTGGGAAACAAGAAGGGGTGGAAAAGAAGATCTTCCCAATGGGTAAGAGACGAAGGGTAATCGTGATATTCGAAAGATGGCAAAAGTGACCTTAGTCAAGTGCAAAAAACAAATGAACTAACAAGCAAGGAAAGGTTCGTAATGGGCCGTAACAGAAGGCGTCCGAAGAGCGCCACAGTAATATGCACAAGGGAATGAATTTCCCAGTTTTTCTTTCCAATCCATAGTTGAAAGCCTAGAACACGGTGCTCTTGCGCTTCTCAGCGCTGGTGAGAACAAGCTTGGGCATGCCTCGGCGTTGGCCGTTCTCCTCGGGACGGATGTCGACCAGACCGCCTCCGATGGAAGCACCGTCATCGCTGCTAACGCTGTTGGCAGTGTAAGAGCGGTTGATGGAGTTGTCGCGGGATCGCTCCTTGGAAGCCTTGCGCTCCGATCCAATGGCGCCATTGGCAACAGCACGAAGGCTACCGATGCTCGGCCTTCCCGAAAGGCTACCGCTTCCACCGCTGCGAACGCTGTCCGAGTCATTGTCAGATGAAGGGAAGTGGTCGCTGTCAGGTGAGGCGCTTCCGCTGCTAGTGCGGTGAGCACGACGGCCAATGCCAGCTCGCACAAGGTTGCCCACAGCCTGGCGACGTTGACGAGTAGCAAAGTTCTTGCTACCCTCATGCTTGGTAGTGGGGCGCTCCTTGAGTTCCTCGATGGAAGGAGGGTTGCGAGGCTGACGCACTGGGTGCTCTCCAGCACGTGCTTGACCAGGGCCGAATGTACCTGTCATCGGGGTAGCAGGGAAGCCAACAGGGCGAGCAAAGGCAGAACGAGGTCCCTCTTCAGCCTTGCCGTCAACAGCAAGAGAAGACAAGTTCTTCTTGTGTCCTCGACGGAAAGCGTTAGCAGATGGTGGGGGGAGCGGTACAACATCCTGAGGGGGAGTGTTGGACTTCTTTGGCGGAGACGTGCTACGCGAACCCCACGGGCTGGGGTTGCTCTCGTTAGGAGGAGACACATGGAGTACCGGAGTGTCAACCTTGGGCGGCGATGGAGCGAAGCGAGGAGTTGGCGGAGGAGGCGAGTGCGACAAGCCCGGCATACCGTTCTGAGCCTGCATGTCGCCGTTGTCTTGCTGGTAGCTCGGGTCCACAACATACTGGTACTGGCCAGTCATCTGGTTGAAGACTAGGTAGACGCCGGGCTGGTTGGTCTCCTGGATGGCAGCAGTGTTTCCAAACTGCTGACCATATGCGTTCATCTGGGGGGTGTATGGCGTGTTGGGGTACTGCTGTCCACCGCTCATGTTCATGTTGCCGAACTGCTGGGTTGTCAGAGCAAGGAGTTGCTGCTGGAGCTGCTGCTGCCTCTGGGCGAGGTACAGCTCGGTAGCCAACAGCTGAGCCGCGACATTGGGATCCATCTCGCCATCATCGAACTCGAATTGGGGAGGGGCGAGGACCTGGTTGTAAAAGTCGGGCTGCTGTTGTTGCTGCTGCTGCTGTTGCTGCTGGTACTGGTTCACACCGCTGAATCCAGAGCCGATGGCAGTCTGAGGGCCCTGGTTTGCACCGTTGAACTGCCTCGAGGAGCGGTTGACATTGTTGTTGCCAACGTTGTGCTGGCGCTGCGAATAAGGAGCCGAGGCAGGGGGTTGGGCAGACGTGGGCGTCTTGGGGGCGGTACGGAGGCCGGCCAGAAGATGGGAGCGGCTGGTGCGAGGAGTCGCAACCGAGTCCTCGGCGATGGAAGCAACCTTGGGCGGCGAAGCGACGCTGAGACGCTTAAGCTGAGCACCCTTGCCACGAGACGCAAAGCTCGAGGTGGGGCCGCCGAAGCCGCCCTGGGATTGGAAGTTGTTGTAGGTCATTTGAGCAAGACCGCCAGCGTCCATGCTCATTGTGGTGGTCTAAGAAGAGTTGCGAAGAAAGGGTAAGAGTGCAACAAGGAGTATGCTGAGCGCACACGGGAAAGATACAGAATCGAAGAAGGCCGGAAGAGGGAGTGCTGGCGCAGACAGAAAGCCGAAGACGTTTGCTGCAAGGCAGAAGTGCGGATTGGCTGGCGATTACGGGATTAAGGATCGTACAGATCAGGGTTGTAAGGTAGAGTTGTTATCGAAAACCGGCCGATGGGCAATGTAGTTGGAGCTATTAACAAGTTCTTGGGTCGCTAGGTCGTTGAGGGTTCTGCTATCGGAAGGATCGAGTGGTTGCAGCGGGAAGGCGCGGTCCAACAGACAGAGACGCGAAGCAGACGGGCGAAGATAATTTTATGAAGTTGAATACACGAACAGGCAGTGACGAGATCAAGGGCAGACAAGCTGGTGGTTGATGCGTCGGCTGGCGAGCTCTTCTTCTCTCGGAGGAGCGACGGGACTGGCGCGCTCGCACAATCTCAGATTAGGCGGGGGATAAGCTGGTCCAACTGGGGGAGCAGGTAGAAGATGCAGAAGCGGCACTGTGTTGTCGAAGAGAGCGAAGGGAGAGAGGTAGAGAGGAAAGGGCGAGTTGGAGGGGCCAGGAGAGAAAAGTGACGAGCAGCGGAGGAGCAGAGAGCCATGGACGAATGCGAGCGCTATAAGTGACGGGGACCTGTGGCAGCGACCCTGCATCGAGCCTAGCCCAATGCAGCCCCCCTGGACACGCTGCAGACCTGGACGCACGCTTGAAACGCTGGGCCTGATGCGTAATAACTGAGCTTGGGCCGTTCCTGCGTGCGAATGCCCTTGTGTGAGAGGGCTCGCTTTGATGCGTAGACGATGCCATGCGTAGAGTTGAGTGCTGCCACTGTATACAAAGCGTTCGGTGTCCTCTTGGGTTTCAGGTGCTGAGGATGAACGGGATGGTCGCTCCTGCCGCACCTGGCGAGGGCCCTGGAGCGCTCCTGCCCGACGCCACGACCGTCCCCTTCCTCGCAGCCCACAGTGCCTTCCTTCGCAGCGGGCCCAGCATGGCAAGAGCGACTGGCAAACAGAACCACCGAAACAGCGTTAGACGTCTTCTCATTGCTCGGGCGCGCTGCCCACGAGCACACCGCAAGACGTGATCCACTGCATCGATAGCGTCTATCTACGCCATGTCGGCCAGTCGTTCGTAGCGTCTCAGTAGTCACCAACGGCGGCTACGCGCCTGCCCACTGCTACTGGCCAGCGCCATCGAGGCCACCGCAGCCCTTCAGCCACGCACACTGCGCCTAAATATACCCACCACCACCTGTTCATCCGCTCCATCTCTGTCTCTGCAAATGCATTGGTGTGCCGTCCTCCCTCGTGCTCAACCATGGCCAGCGCGGCGTGCGCATGAATGGCTTCGAAGCCCTGCACCACGCAGCGCAAATCACCTGTCAGCAGTCATCTTGCAAATGTCCGCATCTCCCTACGCGCAATCTGCAATGCATGTCGTGCGGGAGGAGCATGCTTGCTGGTGTGCCGACCCCGGACCTGGCTGTCAGGTCACGCTTTCCAGTGCAGATCCAGACAAATTCTCGGTGCCTTGCCGCTAGCCTCGCAATCCAGTCCCTTTTTTTCCACCTTTTTACACGCGTCGGCTTCCGCGGTCTTTCCATCGACTCGTGCAACTGCTCGTGCGACCCCGTCGTCGCTGTCGCCTGCCGTGTCGTCCCGGGTCTACCCTGCTGTCTCGGTCTGAAACTGTCGCTCCCTCATTTCGCTACACACTCCCTGCAGGAACGCCTGCCAAGCCATACTCGAAAGCGTGAAACATGCTCTCGTTATCGTCGACTAGCGTTTGGGCCGCCGACACTCTGGGATTCCGAAGTCCGCTGTCAGGGCCATGCTCGAACGCTGATCTTCATTCGCGTGCGGGGGGTTAACCGCGTCTTTGCATCGACACGCTCTTACCCAACACCTGGATGTCGTCCCAAGCATCTCACTTGCCAGCTACGCCTCTTCCGTCTCCTGTGCGACGTCAGATGCCGCTACCGTTTGGGTAATGCGACTATTGAATCTAGCATCAGAGCTATTCGGCACGATACCGGTGCTGTACTGGCAGCCGTTCGGGTCAGGGCCGCCATCTTTAGCGGGCAGTAACTTACTACATACGACCGAACCGGCCGATTCTTTTCTTCGAAAAGAAGCGCATCAGAACTGCGCATCCACTCTGGACCGGAACACAGCGGCAACAATTTTGTGGGGCGCATGGTTCCGTTCAGAAGCGCAGAACAAAGACAAGAATGAGGCGCACAACCAACTACTATGGACATTGCGAAGCATGTTTGCGCAGTGTGTGTGAGGTATCGTATTTCCAGTGGTACAGTAATGCTTCAAACTTAATATCCTTACTCGAGTCGCGCAGACGAGCATCCTCACCAAACTGTCAGCTTACGCACCATCAGCGCTAAACTAGGACGCGCTTGTGCAGCTCTGTTTCACGGACACGATCGTCGACGCCGTCCAAAGTAGGAGACTCTGGTGCTGCAAGGCTACATGTTTCGAACGCGTTCCAAGCTTCTCGGATACATATTCTGCGGACCACCGATCCTCGTCTTTAGCACTTACCGCGATGAATCGTCCTAAACCACGGAATCGTTGCTATTGCATCTCGTGAGTTGGTACTGCGTCTATTTGGTCCCTCTCATATAAATACTACCATGACAAAGTGGAAATTTGAGAAGGTGACTCATCATCTATCGCCCTGTGCACGCTCGGCGCAATATATTCAGAAAGCATGACCCGCATCATGCAACAAAGAGAAGAGCCAGACTCGGAAGGGCTTGTAGAAGTCTGAATGTAGTCTAGGTAAAGGGGAAAGTGCGCATCAGTGAAAAAGAGGTAACATGTCGTGAGCACACGAGGGGGTGGTCGCTGTTCAATAAGTACTACAAGTTTGCAGACGGATGATGTACAACCCGAGATCGTTTGACTGATTTAGGGTCCCACACCATCTGGAACGTGCAAAACAAGAGACAGACTCTATTGCTTGCACTCGCCCAAGCAAACATCCAGTCGTGTTGAGCGGACCTTCACGAGACCCACTAGTAGTGTTTCCGCATGTTTGGGACTTGGCATGATACTCGGCACGAAACATCTGACAGCACCTACTCTTATAGATCTTGCTGTCCAGTTTCTTCCTAACCGTCGCGAACATCAGGCAAACGGTTTCGGCCAGCTTCATCATCCGTTTTTTCGGTGTTTGTGGCGCAATTGACGGAGCGAGGAAGGCTACAAGGCACAAAGATGCAGAGTATATAGTGAGCCTCAGTGCGGCGTATCTCCTAAGGATCAGATCTGCAGTGCATTTCCCATCTTCTACTACCATCGATATCCTAATCAGTATATTCACTAATCCCCATTCTTACTCATAATTCCCATCTTTCTTAATCCTATACCACCCCGACTTCAACATGCTCTTCTCCAACATCGTACTCGCGGCTTTGGCCCAGAGCTTGACAGTATCCGCTGCCACCATGACGGTCACCGTGGCTGCCAACAACAAGTTCCAGTTTACACCCAACTCCATCACGGCCCAGCCTGGTGATATGGTCGCTTTCAACTTCGTCAGCCAGGTACGCCAGTCTTTCTCTATCCGTTCACGTCACATCACATACTAACACAATCCTCGCAGAATCACAGTGTAGCTTCCTCTGACGCAAACACCCCTTGCCAGCCTCAGCAGAACGCAATCTTCTCCGACTTCCAGCCCATCCCTGGTAACCCCAACGGTTCTCCAAACGGTAACGGTGGTGGCAACGCTGGCAACGGTCGCAACCGCAACAACAACCGCCAAGCTGGAAACACCCCCATGTTCATGGTTCCCATCACCGACAACCAGCCTATGTACATCTACTGCTCTCAAGCCCAGCATTGCCAGCAAGGCATGGTCATGGTCATCAACCCACCCAACGCTCAAGCCGTGACCCAGTACCAGAACAAGGCTGCTCAGGCCAACAACAACGTCTCCCCCAGGGGTGGTATCAGCGGTGGACAGGTGCTGAACAACAACGCTGGAACTAACCCCAAGAACGTTTTGGGTGCTCAGGCGGGTGATGCGGCAACGGCGAACACAAAGGGCAAGGGCAAGGGTAAGGCCAACGGTGCCGCTGCTGGTCTGGCTGGTCTTCTCGGAGGTCTTGGCAAGGGCAACTAAGCACGTCGATGATACTTTGACGAAGTGTAATATACGAGATGAAATATCCTAAAAAGAGGGACGAGGGCTGGGTGTAAATATTTGACGATGGTATCGATGGTAGTAGATGAAATGCTGGTCATTGGTGTGTAAATAGTATAGTAATATATGTCTTACGAACTTATTGATATATGTACCCAGCTTTGGTGAGTGTTTAGTTGAGAGTAGCACGAGACTGGTAGCAGTGACATGACTTTACTGCTCAAGGTAGCTATTGTCCCGACGCTTCCCCTTCACCTATAAAAACAATCACATGCATTATCGGCCTCGTTTCTGTTCCTCGTATCCAATTTAGACAATGGCATTAAACGTTTGGTGTCGCAATGATTCCTCGCCTCTAAAGTGTATAGCGTCACCATTGCGATCGCGAAAGCAGAGTGAGAGTAAATTCACAGTCATGTTAGCATAATAGCACCAGAAGCGAGTAGGCAGCAGCTTTTAATCCAACAAAACCTCACTTCTTATGTTGTGTCGTTCCTAGAGAACAATGGCAAGCCATGACAATGGTAAGCAGGTAGACAGACAGCTCGTATCCAACCGCTTGTGTCTATATATCCAGATATCTATCTCCCCTCGTTTCTCAACAAAAGCACTGTTACCGTCTACTCGCACTTTGTCAGTTATCGTCGCAGCACACTCGACTATTCACAACCCTTCATCCGAACATTCCTGGCGATTCCAAAACGACGAGGTCCGAAGACATAGTCGCAACCTCTCAAGGACAGCAACGTAATGATCAAAATTCTCACAATGCTGCTGGCTCAGCCCTCTGATGTCTGCCTTCTCATCAAGATGATCATCTTCAGTTTCGCCATCCGCACTCTCAACATCCTAGTGAAGAGCGCCATGAAACCCACATACTTGCTCTCCGATCTACCATCACCCAAACATGCAGAAGAAGACCTTGCATCAGCCACCTCTCTTGAAGCCATAAGAACTTGGTTTTTGTCCATTCGTATCTGCGCTCAGACCAAAGCAAACACTACCAACAAGCCATGTACAAAGATCAGGAAGTCTAGACGCAGCATCTCTCCCAAGTTTGACAAGATACCGCAGAACCCTGGTGTTCAGTGCGCGACCATGTGACGGAGCATTAGGAGAGATGCCGAAGAGTACGAGCGCTGGTTCGCCTGCACATTATTCGGCTGTGGTATGCACCACTACTTTTTCATTTCCTCTGTACTATCACTAACCATCATAACAGGGCTCCTCACTGATTGATGGATTCTCTGGTATCAGCAGCGTGTTAAGAGGCGGTTGTGTTGCTCATTTGCGGTATGCTGGGAATAGGATCCGTTCTTGTATCTCTTTCCATGGCTTTTCTCCAACAGATTGAACATGTCATTATAGCCAAGGATGGATCATCAGTGCTACTCATTGTGACGTTTTTGAGGGCCTCTGGCTGCGTCAGGAATCAATGATGTAGAGATATGAACATGAACGCACGTGCAACTTGTAAAAAAAAAATGTAGCAACCTAAATGCACGAGTATCTGCATCCACATCCCTTGCCCTGTAACATTGTTATGTTCGGCACGAAGACATTCATGCTCACAGTGCCACTCGAAGCCAGCGTCCTGTCGTATTCAAGAATATATACACTACACTAGTACCTACAAATATACATAGTCATTGCCATCAAGTCACATGGAGAGGACGAGGACTTGAAGAACATCGAACAAGGTTCGATCGCATAAAGCCATTAAGAGCATGTGTTCTACACTATACGAGCTTTATGAAGAAACAACAAAACGGTAAAAGGACGGAATGCGCTATTCCTCTTGAACATGATGAACAGTATGTCAGGCATATCCATGCCGTGTATATCTCCATATAAACGCCTGTGAGATATGAGGATCCCATGTCGTCCCATTCCCGATTCCCAATTCAAAGACCAACCCGATCGCATAACAGATCATAAAACGCGAAACCTTCAATCGTCCTTGACACTGGCACTGACGTAGCCGTCGTCCACATCCGACTCCTCCTTTTTCTTCTTCTTCTCTCCCAATCCAACTAAAGTCTTGCTCGCATCAAGGCAGCTATTCACAATCTTACATCGAACCTTGTTGCTCAGTCCGCTCCTCTTACCAGTGTCGTGACCGATCCACATGCGAAGGGAGCTAGCAGTGCGCTCTAGACCGCAGCTAGTCTCCTTCTTCAATTTTTCGTCAGCCATAAATTGCGTGAGAACTTTGTGACCAGCGACAAAACTGAGGAGTGTAGTTGTGCATTCGGGAAGATACGTGTTGTTGACGACGAAGATGGCGCGGCGGCGGGCTTCGGGATTTGAGGAGGCGGCCAGAGAGAGGCACTTGGCCAAAGTAAGTGCTTTGCGCACATCGATTGCGACGAAGCCATTGCCGACGATATTGATGAAGCCAGCATCTGCAGGTTTGGGAGATGAAGGAAGAGCTTCCATTGCTGCTGCAATGCGATTGTTGCGATCGTCGTCTAGTACAACAGCTTGAGCAACTAGTGCACGTAGCTGAGCTTGTGAATTGGGAGGGGCAGCTTGGAGAGCAAGTGCTAGGTCGGTAACGACATTGTCCTTGGACGAGCTGTTTTTCGCACCAAGCGTGGCTGCAAGTCCTTTGTTCAGTACAAGGCTAGAGTACCAGGCGGCAAGAGCATCCAAAGGCGAGCAGATGGCGAAGTCCTCGACAACAGCATCCATGGAGGTATCTACGACTGTCTGTTCTGCGCTTGGCTTATTCCAAGCCAGGTTGTATGCCCGCTGCACAACCGCAGGAACAAGCACATCGTCGCACTCCCTCTCAATGAGTGCTGCGAGATGTTCTGGTAACGGCTGAGCTTCGCTGTTCTGTTTCGACATGTTGGTAGCAATACGGTGCTCGCTTCGCGCCATGTTCCAGTAGCTTCGTGCCAGTTTTGCGCTCAGGTCGTTGAGTAACCACCACGAGCCATGACCTGCGTTTCCAAGTTCCCAAAGCACGATTCGAAGATGCAAAGCCTTGAGCATGAGCCTTGCTGGTGTATCTGGTAGGGTGCCAGAGGCGATCAAGGTAAGTACCAAACGGCTCTTGCTGATCTCAGCGTCGCCGCCTGTAAGCTGAGCATCCAAGGCAATTTCCCAGGCTTTGACACGAGCTGCCTCTTGTTCCTTGGTAATGCCAGTAAGATATGCATATCCCTCCCAGCCAACAAGCCTACGCATGCTGAGCTTAAGTGTTTTCAAGCCCAAGGCAGCAAGCTCTAAGATGAAATTGTGTTGTGGAACCCAGACAGTTTGAATTGCAGTGAGCCATGCCTTGCGACGTACTTCTACAGGTGAGGCCAATGACGGTGCGGGTGTCAAGAGGATAGCTGGAGGTGACTTCTTCTTCGGTTTCGATCTGAAGTCGAGCAATGGTGCAGCAAGGTAGAAGAAAGCAAAGAAGACTAAAAGAAGCTTGGCCATGGGGATCTGAGCTGTGGATACGCCTAGAGAAACGCGAGGAGCAAGAATGCTAGCGAGGTTGACGGGCAGAGCGAAGAGACCACGACCAGCTGGCTCTTCTTGCGACTGCTCCCGCTCTACGAGTCCTTCAAGTATCATCAGGCCCGCGAGAGATCCGACCATGAGCTTGCCCATCATGGCACCATTGCGCCGGCCGTTGACCATGGGCGCGGCAACTGCTGGGCGACCGCCGTATCCTGGCGGGTATGCAGGTGCATAGTGCTGTTGTGGTGGGAGACCGCGCTGGAGAGCACTTATGTTGTCAGGAACTGGAATCATTCCTTGTGGCGGTCCCGACATTGGCATGCCGTGTGTGGGCGTGAAAGGATCTTTATGGAATCTTGAGCCATCAGGTGTGCCCACAGTGCCATGTAAGGTTATGGGACCCGATATGGCCATCTTTTCGTAGCTCTCTACCCGTCCTTTCAAGGTGTTGACCTCATCTTGTAGACGTTTGTTGCGCTTTTCCAGATGTCGGATATACTCTGTGGCCTTGGAGAGTACAGTGGCTTTGTTGAGCTTGTGTGCGGGTGTGAGACCTTCAAGATCCTCGGGGTCATCGTCTTCTTCGGTACCGTTCGGCCGTGACATGACGCGAAGACTGGGTACACCTTTCTCATGGATTAGCGCAAGTGTCGAGAGACGGGTTGAAGAGTGACTTACTATCGCGAAGAGCAGCAATCTTGTCGTTGAGATTGGTCCGATAGCGCTTCTCAATCATGTTGTGTGCAGTCTTCTTGGGTGGTCCTCCCTTCTTACTTGAGGGCGCATCGTCGTCGAGCTCCTCGGAGTCAGCCAGTGACTTCCTCTTTCGTACATTGGTCGTGACAGGCTCTGGTGACGAATGCGACGAGGTTGAGCTGGCTCGTCCGTTGCTCAGAGAGTTTGGGCTATGGTGGAGACTGGGCGTCGAGGCTGGTGGTTGTGGTGCGACGAAGCCGTTCTGGTCGTACTGCGTGGGCGAGAAGAGAGCGTTGTCAGCTAGTTGTTGCTGCTGGTGTTGCTGTTGCTGTTGCTGCTGCCATTGGTGAGAGGCATAAAAGGCGTTTTGTTGCTGCATGTCAGCGGTAAGCGGGGAGCTCATGGCATTGCCATTGAAGTCAAAGGCCGGAGGTACGTCGGCGGCCTGGCCAAAGGTGAAGGGGACAGCATGTGCGTGGGAAAACATGGGAGCGGTCGTGGGTACGGTGCTGGACTGCAGCGGTTGGGACTGTTGGTGGGAGAGGGAATGGGGCGAGGTTTGCTGATCGGGGCTGAGATATGCGGCAGGCCCCTGCGGATTCGCGGGCTTGGGGTCGACATTCTGGGTGTTCTGAGACGCTTGGGCGGGATCGTACTGCATCCACTCGTTCCAGTTGGTCATGTCGTCAGCGGGAGCCGTGAGCGTCATGTCGTCGCCGGCGGTGGTGAGCCACGGAGCGCGCATGCTGGCAAAGGGGAAGTCGCTCGAGAGCAGGGGATCTTCCATCTTGGCCGTGTGCCGGTCCTCGTCGGGGACAGGC